TCATGGGCGTAGATTTTAGCTGGGAATCATCAGCGGCGTTGTATGAAGAACTTTATGCCAAGTCTGTTGCCCGAGCAAGGGCTGCAAAGCGTGCTTGAGCTTGTTGGGAAGGTACTAGTTTGCAGAAGTTGGTTCTTGACGAAGTTCAATATATATTTCGTGACAACATTGGAATTGACTTATCACGAAGGGCTTGATTCGGCAAATGGATTTTGAAATGGTAACTATTTTTATTACGAGATATTTCCTCCACAAGACCAGGAGGTAATTGAACCTGATTTTACAATCTAAAATGTATCTCTTATACGTGATCAAATCATTCATTCTGGGTATAACCTAGTGTGTGTTCTAGTTTCAGCAGGATGAACATCTGCATGTAGATATTTTACATTATGGCACGTAATATATTGTATACAAGTTCATAAACATACATTTCATTGTAACTTAACAATGTATTAGTAGCTTATGGAGACGAAGTCTAAGATAAAATAAATATTGGAATTTGGGGTCTGTTTATATGTTAGTTTCATTTGGTTTCCCTGAGCTTTTCTGTCTTCGTTTCTAATTCTTAAGTATTGTGGAGAATAAAACTTAGTTTTTTGTTGTTGAGGAGGTCTGGTGTGTGGTTGGAATAGATGTAAACTGAACGGAAAAGTGGAAAACTAGATGGTCTTTCTGTAATTCTGAAACTAGTTTGTGATTGCACAATTTTTTCAAGTGTTTGGTAAACTTAAAAAGAATTGATTATGAAAAAATATATACTATTTGATTGTGGATTTTAGAAAACAACAGAATTCTACATTTTCAGATTCTACTTCTAACTTCATCAATTATTTAGCTCATATTTGATAGAAATTAAAATTTAGAAGGTGTTTGAGAGTCATTTTAATGTAAAAATGCATTTTAGAATAGTAAATTGATGAGAAATATGTGGTTGAAAAATGAAGAAAGGTTTTTGATTTACGTGTTATATTATTTTAATAAAGAATGTGTGGTTGAAAAGAAGAGAGAAAAATGCATTTTGAAAAAAATGAGTACTAAGCAGAGTCTCAGACTTTAATATATATCAAAGTTCACAATTGATTTTAACATATTTTATGGAATTTACAATTTTTCAATCACAAATTTCATTAAATTTTTATCAAAACTTGCAAATAATAATAATAATAATAATAATAATAATAATAAATAAAATTTTTTAATTTTAATCCCCATCTTATTAAAATTTTAATCTTAATCCCATCAATAAAATTAATTTATTTTCTAAATTAAGTTCTTAGTTCATGTTAAAAAACGTAATTTATTTTTCTTGACATCCAAATTTAATTTCTAATTCTATAAATTTTAAGATTGGACAAATGTAATTTTTCCTTTAAAAATATGTAGTAAATATAAAAATAAATATTTTTATAATATAAAAGAAAATAAATTTTACAACAATAAAATACATAGAAGGATTATTATATTAGTGTATAAAAGTACAACAATTTAAAAAAAAATTTCTTTTTACCAAACACTAAAATATTATTTTTAAAATCTACATCAATTATGAAATGAAAGTTCATCAATCTTGAGCACAACAAAATCTAATGTCTTAAAAGCATAATAATATCAAATTAAGTCCAAAATACTTTTTAGTGATGTGTCCTGCTTGGGTGATTTTTTTATCATTTATCATTTATTTATTTATTTTTTTTTTCAAAAGAAAGAAAGAAGGTTGGTGAAAAAGAATGTGCTGGAAAATTGGCGCAAATGATCCCTAAAGTAATGATCTTTGTGTGCAAATGGTCCCTTATGTATGACCTTTGTGTGCAAAACGTCCTTGGATGGTTTTGATCCATTTTTGCCATTAAAAGTGTATCTATTTTAATAGAAAGACACTTGTACCCTTTACCCATTATACTCTTAAAGGTTTGTGTGTGCAAACTTCTTAATTTCTGTTTCTCATAATGATAACATTTCATTTCAACAATTATTTACAAATAATTCATCATTGTTAATAAAATCAAAGTTCATAACCAAATAATTTCATTTAATTATAACATTGTGTTCCACTTTTCTCTATTTGTTTTGTTTTGTTGGGGTCATTTCTTTATTTACCGATTTTTACCTATTATTTAATTTTTTTTTCTCAAATATATAGTTTTGCAAAAATGCTTTATCAACACGAGGGATGAAAAATGAATTTTGACAACTTGGTTAGATAAAATGAAAGCATCCAAAATCAAGAGGTATAATCAAATTTTAATTTCAATTAACATAATACAAAAATGTAAAATTAAAGATAGAAGCATCAAAAGTTAGATAATGTCGAGGTCAAAATGTAGCTCAAGTTGTAAGAATGAAGTCGAGATTATTAGCCTGAGATCAAGCCTCCTTTGAAGGATAAGAGTGAAATTAAAAAAAAAAAAAAAATCAGGAATGCCAAAAAAAATTTAAAATTGATATTCTACTAAAGTACACAACTCTCTCTCTCTCTCTCTCTCTCGTGCAAGCATATGAAGTATGAATGAATTATTTTTGATAAGTTAGTCTAAAAATAGTCATATTGATGTCTTGTTTGATAGTGTTGTTTTGTTGCATTTAGTACGAGTTCTCTTAATTCCAATTACATTGAAATGACACCAACAACAATGAAAGTGAGCGAATTATCACAGTTGAAAATGATATGAAATGAAACCAGCACTATAATGGGAAAATGGTACTAACACTACCAATTACGAATGTAACAACAAAAATTGACTGAAGCGGCTAATGAGTTTCTTTTTCTTTCTCTCTCTCTCTCTACACTTTTTTTTCTTTGTCTTTGGTATAGATAGTTTTTATTACGACCACAGCCGAATATAGAAAACCACAAATTTTGCATAAACGGTCTTCTAAGTATATATACAAATAAATGTTGTGTCTTTTATCAAAATAGACATACCTTTGCAAGAATGGATGGAACCATCAAAAAGGACTTGTTGCACACGAAATCAAAAAGGTTGAGGGAGTTAACATCAAGAAAAAAAGATAAGGGATCATTCGTGAACAAGGTTCATACATCAGGGACCTTCTTTTGCCAAATTTCTAAATTTGCTCCTCTTGGGAGACCTTCGGCTCTGTGCATCCTTTTGCGGGAGTCCAAAGAATTATGGACAGGTTTTGCAGAAAGGCCAAAACTTTTGGACAAATACGGCCAGTCTTTACAGGCAGACTGGCTTATGGCTCGATCTATTCTACGTCAAGTCAAGCCAAATCTAAAACAGGCAGGCTGAAACGACTCAGAATTATGAAGACTGGCTCATTGTTTGTTGAAAATTTTGCTTAATAATTCTTGGCCGTCCAGGCTATTGCTGGATATAATAGTCGTTCTGATGTTCTGAAGCATATAAATGAAGTAGTTTGTCAGGATAAAACTAACATATAGATCCACATTTGCAAGGAATAGAAGCACACAAAATTCACAGGCTGTTCCATTAATTTGCAACAATTTTACATCATCTTAAAACAATCAAGAGTATGGTACACTTTGTCCGTCAAATTCACTTTCCAGGGACAAAGTTTGTGGCATAGGCCCAAGCATTGTTGTTAACAGGGTCTGCAAGGTGGTCAGCAAGGTTTTCCAATGGACCCTTTCCGGTTACAATTGCTTGGACAAAGAATCCGAACATGGAGAACATGGCAAGTCTACCGTTCTTGATCTCCTTCACCTTGAGCTCTGCAAAAGCTTCGGGATCATCGGCAAGACCCAAGGGGTCGAAGCTTCCACCGGGGTAAAGTGGGTCGACTACCTCACCTAGTGGCCCACCGGCAACACGGTAGCCCTCAACAGCTCCCATCAAGATGACTTGGCAAGCCCAGATGGCCAAAATGCTCTGGGCGTGGATCAAGCTTGGGTTGCCCAAGTAGTCCAGTCCACCCTCACTAAAGATTTGTGCTCCGGCCTTGAACCATACGGCCTCACCGAACTTGACACCGTTGCGAGCCAAGAGCTCAGGGAAAACACATCCAAGAGCTCCAAGCATGGCCCATCTGCAGTGGATCACTTCAAGCTCACGGTTCTTGGCGAATGTCTCGGGATCAGCTGAGAGTCCAGCAGTGTCCCAACCATAGTCACCAGGGAATTCACCAGTGAGATAGCTTGGGGGCTCTCCGGAGAATGGTCCCAAATACTTAACTCGGTCAGGACCATACCAAGGGCTGCCTGAAGAAACTGACTTGCTCACAGCTTTCCTCATTGATACCCTCCCGTTGCCAGTGATCTCAGGGGCAGATGGCAAGAGCTTCACTGCCTTACCAGCGAAAGATGGAGAAGAAAGAGCCATTGTAGAGGCAGCCATGGGTTGAGAGAAGTTAACTGCTGATTGACGGTTGTGTTTGAAATGGTGTTTAAGTGCTCAATGTCCAGAGGTAGGTGTGATTATTATAGAAGGGAAAGGTAAATTTTCTTATCTTCATCATATCTATATCTCTTCTTTGATTGGATCTCAAGATTTTTTATCTGTTGCCTCTTGGCCACTTGGAAATCTCTAGTCCATCAGTTTCTTGGAATTTTATTTGTGGCTTCAAACTAATTTAGGTGGTTTGTCATGCCTTTGATATTCTTGTTATTGACAATAAAATTTATCCTAACAATGATTTTTTTTTTTTAATTAAATGTGTGAAAAAAATTTTCATTGGAGTACATATCAGAATGTGGGTAATTAAGGTATTCAAATAGTTTAATTAGTAGTGTCAATTTGTCCCTTAGCCATTTTAGGGATGATCTTGATCGAGCTATGAACTTAAAACTTGTTCCATTTGTTATTGGATAGAATGTTAAGAGTTTATAATGTCGTTCGTGTTCGATTCAACAAAATCTTGTAAAGAAAGAATTCATGCTCTAATGACACCATCTTCAAATAAAGTGTTTTTCCATAGTAGCACCATGAATAGCATATAGCAAAGCAACATCCAATACACCGACAACTCCCATCATAAATGGATTCAAAATAATGTTATTGCCTGCAGGCCCGGGGTTATAAATTTTCTTATTTTCATCCATTAAATAATATTTTATTACTCGTCACAAAAGCTCTATTTGCCTTTGCCATCTATGAGTCTTTTTATTTTCCTTGGGGTATCGCAACTCTCTTTGGCAGTATTCATTAATTCGGAACTTAATTCAAAAGACATCCCCAAAATGAAATTTTCCGTAAAAATAGTAGGTAATATAATGCATGCAGACCAAGTCAAGAAAATGACTTTCTTACTTTTCTTTCATAGTCTTAATGAGTAGTAGTTTGAAATATTAAGAACGCAGTTTTTTTTTCCCGACACTCCACTCCTTCTTCTTAAGTCAAGTTCAGTTCAAAGATTGTAAGTGTTAGTAATGGACACTTACATCTAACCCACTTCTGAACTTAAAGTGGTTCACCTCATACAGGAAAACATTTCTTGAATTTAGGTTGTATACTGAATGAAATACAAATTATTCAAGATAGAAGATAGTGAACTAATCCAATGGTACAAATGGCTGTCCCTGATTGGCCGCAAGAGACTATGTCCACATCGGCTGAGATTTTGTCACATAATGTACCCAAAAAAAGAAATATTCAACACAACTGGTGGTGCTGGACTTTGCCAAATGGATATGATATCAAAAATTTCATACACCAATGAAAATTGAGTTAGTGATAACAATAGATAAGGACCTTGTTGAGTGCTGGCAGCCCAGTCAATATAAATACCTTAATATGCACTGGCCATGTAACTCAAGCCACAAACAACTTGCAACTCTTTCCCAAACAAAGACAAGTATTAAGTAAAATGGCAGCCTCCACTATGGCTCTTTCTTCTCCATCTTTCGCCGGAAAGGCGGTGAAGCTCTCACCATCTGCCTCCGAGATCACTGGCAACGGGAGAGTCTCAATGAGGAAGTCTGTGAGCAAGTCGGTATCTTCAGGCAGCCCGTGGTATGGCCCTGATCGCGTTAAGTATTTGGGACCATTCTCCGGTGAGCCCCCAAGCTACCTCACTGGCGAGTTCCCTGGTGATTATGGTTGGGACACTGCTGGACTCTCAGCTGATCCGGAGACGTTTGCCAAGAACCGTGAGCTTGAAGTGATCCACTGCAGATGGGCCATGCTTGGAGCTCTTGGATGTGTTTTCCCTGAGCTCTTGGCTCGCAACGGTGTCAAGTTCGGTGAGGCCGTGTGGTTCAAGGCCGGAGCACAAATCTTTAGTGAGGGTGGACTGGATTACTTGGGCAACCCGAACTTGATCCACGCCCAGAGCATTTTGGCCATCTGGGCTTGCCAAGTCATCTTGATGGGAGCTGTTGAGGGCTACCGTGTTGCCGGTGGACCACTAGGTGACGTAGTCGACCCACTTTACCCTGGTGGAAGCTTCGACCCCTTGGGTCTTGCCGATGATCCCGAGGCTTTTGCGGAGCTCAAGGTGAAGGAGATCAAGAACGGCAGACTTGCCATGTTCTCCATGTTCGGATTCTTCGTCCAGGCAATTGTAACCGGAAAGGGTCCCTTGGAAAACCTTGCTGACCACCTTGCAGACCCTGTTAACAACAATGCTTGGGCGTATGCCATGAACTTTGTCCCTGGAAAGTAAGCATTGAAGGATTTGTCAATTGCGAGCCCAAATTGAAATTTGACTTGTTTTTTAATTATAAGTTTGATTGAACAACCAATGGTGTTTGTGGTGTAATTAATTTCATCTATTGAAAAACCAGTGAACTTTTCACATCATCATATGATTGTTTATGATTATGTTATTATTCTAACTCTTGAATTCTCGTGCTATTCTACGGACATTATTCGACGTGATCATCGTGATTCATGGATTATTTATCTATAAGAACGTCGATTGAGTCACTCAACTTCAATTCTTGTGAACAACAGGTCTCTTCTTTTGATTTCAGTAATAAAAATACGGTGAACAATAATGTGATCTTTATTGAGTTTTCAACTTCGTTACTCTAACTAGGCATATCCAAAACTTAAAAATAATTCAACTCTTCAACAAGCAAAACCAACATATGAGCACATGAATATATGATGAATTATTGCAAGAATTCAGAATATGGTTACCAACGAGGAAGGGAATCCTCAAGCTTGATGGGGACTAGGCTTGAACGGGACGGGGACAAGGATGAGTTTAAGAAATCAGCTCCGAGTCGGGGACAGAGATCATAGTCCCCACTTTTTTTGGAAAAAATAAAATAGAAAGAAATACTGCACTCGCGGTCCCAAACTTTTTAAATTTTTGTAGCTTTTATCCTAACCTTTCATTTGTTGCATCCACAATTCCAAATCTTTCATTTTTGTGCGACTAAAGGTCAACCATCCATATTGTCCGTTAGTTGAACATGAACATTGTACTTTATCATATTTTTAATAATTTCAAGAAGTGTAAAAATAAAGAAAGTTCATCTCTTAGCCGCTTTTACCTCTCCAAAATCGAAGCCCCACCGTCGACCACTAACACCACCCGTGTACCAGCCGCCCCTCAGAAATAAGCTTCACCTGGCTGCTTCTTTACCAAAATCAACCCATTTGTTCTTCGCCAAAAATCATTTACTTAGGTTAACTTTTTCCTCCATTCAATTTCTCTGGCAAAACCCAGTTGTTCTCCACCAAAACCAAAATTACAAAACAATCCATCGAATTAAGGCCATGGCTGCCTTCTTCACTAGTTGGCACAAAATGATTTGCACCAGTCTTCTCCTGAAGGTCTTGTTGCTGTTGGCTTCTTTTGGCTATAATACCAAAGTTGAAGCATGTCTACATTTGCAGTAGCTTTTCGTGTGTAAGAAAATTCCATCTAGGAACTGTTACCTAAGATCGATGTTCTTCAGTCTTCACATCTGCATTTTCAACGCCCCTGGAAATGGAATAGAAACAAGGAGATAATTGTGATAGTGAAAGATCTAAATTTGTAAGACGCAAAGACAATCTAAGTTTTTGTGATTGTCCTGATAGGCTTGTTCCTATTCAAGTCCAAGTGAATCAAGTTCAGAAGTAGCATCTTGAATTGTGCTTCAACCAAAGATCAAACCGTGGGCATTATTATTATTTTCTGGAATTGATCCTTCCAGCTGGTTGTCAAGCAATGGACGGCCTTAAAGGATTGTAATCTTTTTCTGTGAATCAACCAATCCATCAATCATCTCAGAGTACCGATCTCTAACAGCCTCACAGAATTCTTAGACTGACAGAGATGTTCTCAGGCATGTTATTTCCAGATAGAGACGAATATGTAAGATTGGACAAAAATAAGTGAAGATGAAAATAAGCATTAATATCTCCTCTTCAAGTTTAAATTGTTGATTTAATATTTCAAGAAAAAAACATAATTAAATTTTCCAATTGTTGATGGTCAAATCTGAATGTTTCACGAGCAATTGTTTGTGATATGTTGTTCGAACTCAGGCGTGGGTGTTGAACATGAATATAGATCATAAGTATCAGCACTCTACTTTTGTCAAATTTTAGGACATGGAGATTTGATTAGGAAGTATCTCGACTACGGATATTAACAACAAGTGTAACAACATTATACAAATATCAGGATGCTCTATATGTAATGTAAATTTCATATTATAACATATTCAAGATAATGTTCCAGAAAGAATATAGATTATAACAAAAACACAATCCAATATTTTATTGTACCTTAACAATGTATTAGCGGCATATGGAGAGGAATACAAGGACGAAATAAATATTGGAATAGCGTTGGTTTATCTGTTGTTATTTTCTTTGGATATTCTTGACTTGTTCTCTTCATTTTAATTCTTGTGTAGTATCTGAGAATAGAAGTTATTATCTTGTTTCTGTGGAAGACTGGTTTCTAATGATAGCGTGCAGCTATCACACCCTATTTTATAAAGCTTGCTTAGTTAATTTCTTTCAATAAAACTTGGTGAAAAAAGAACTTGCTCCTTTAGAGAGACCCCACGTTCTCTTCATCCTTTTGCTGTAAGTTTAAAGAATTATGGGCCAGTTTGTGCAGACAGGCCAAGACTCTTGGGGAAATGCAGCCTGTCTTAAAAGCAGACTAGCTCATGGCTCGATCTGTTCTGAGTTTAGTCAAGCCGAATATAAAATGGACCGGCTGCATTGTGAACTTTTACACCTCCATCAGAAGTTCAGCTTCATGTGGCTATACCCAACTAGAATTGAAAGGAAATGGAAGACCAAAGGCTATTTAATGTCAGTTTATTAAGCTACCGTGTGGCTAGTACGGATACGAGTAATTTGTTCTATGTTCTGATAAAATATGATGCAGAAGTGTAGCGGAAATTTCTCGATAAATCTTGAATCCGGGCTCAGAAAACAATCAAACGAACACCGATTTACCTCTATTCGACCCGAGACTTTCACTTTCACTTTGGACTACCCAAACTCTCTCAAACCCCACAAAGGAGAAGGGTGGTGATGTTAACAATCCACAAAGGTATGGAGAGGGAGAAGAAGATATGAAAAAAAAAAGGGTAAAATTTTTTTTTAAAAGAAAATGTAAAATGACCTACGACAACGGCTAAAAGTGTTGCACAAAATAGCGATATAAGCATAATTAACAAGCAAAATAATATTATAAAAATGGATAACATGATCTACGGCAACAAACAAAAATGTTGTAAAAATTACGGGTATAAGCATAAATAACACTCTAAAAATGTTACAAAAAGGTAATTAGCAATATTCAACATTGCAAAACATAAGAATAAAATCGACAAGCAAAAAAAAGTTGCAAAAAGGTTACTCCCTCCGTCCCAATTATATATGCTTGTTTCGTTTTTCACACGGATTAAAAAAATCTTCTTAATGTCATTGAATTATTAATTTTTGCCAAGATTTTTCCTAATTTATCCCTATTTCAGTATGCAGTAATAAATTATTGTTTGAATTATTAAAGAATTGAGAGTTGTTCCATGTTTTCAAGAAGTGAAAATGTGTGTATTTGGATGATTTCAAAAAGTTGGCATATTAAGTGGGGGAAATTGAATAAGGGTATATTAGTAAATGAACAAAATAAAATATTCTAAATTAGGAAACAGATATATTTGGGATAAGAGAAAAATAAACTCAGCCTATATAATTCGGACGAAGAGAATAGTATTAGTAACATTCAAAAAACGTCACAAAAAATAAGAATAAAATCACATACAAGTAGCATAAAACGTTGCCAAAAGATTATTAGCAACATTCAGTTAACGTTGCAAAAAAAACTAAACGTGACTTTAGCGAAGGCTACACACATACACACAAAACAACAAAATGCAGCGATAAGTGAACGTTGCAAAAAACAATAGACAAGGCCTTTTGCAACAGTTTTTTGACATTGTCGTATTTTTTTACTCTATGATAACATCAAAGCCCAGAACATACGCATGAACGTTGCAAAAGATTTTTTATAATATTTTTTGTATGTTACAGAAGACAATTTTTGTTGTAGTGAAAGTACCTTCATACCACCTCGGATATGAAGGATTTGGGATTTTTGTGATACTTTCTTTGTAAAAAGTACGTTGCTGATATTCTTTCTTGAGCTGAGATACCTATTGAACTAAATTGTAAACTTTGTATTACTGATAGCAACCCTTTGATTTATCCTACAAGATGATAAGGAGTTGTTGGATCTTTGTTTATTTTACTGTTGCTCAACTAGATATTACGTATGCAGATCATATAGACAGTCAGTTTTCTTCTGCCCCGACAACAACACAACACATTAGAATGCTATTATGTACGTTCTTCGATATTTACAAGGCAGTTGTCCCCATGGTTTGTAATCTTCTTCGTTCGATCTTACTCTTTGTGCATTTTCCACTACTGATTGGGTTGGTAATCATACGAATAGGAAATCAACTACTGGTTTTTGTATTTTCTTAGGTTATTCGTTGCTTGCTTGGAAGAGTAGAAAACAGTGTATTGTTGCTCTATCTTCCAATAAAACAGAGTATTGTGCAATGGCAACTACTTGTGCTAAGATTATTTGGTTTCATCAATTAGTTGATAAATTTGGCGATTCCCATGTATTGTGACAACCAAGTGTTTTATCCATCAGCACTACATGGCAAGCTTGATTTCTTTTCACATACATCCTCCTCGTCTCAGCTTGCAGATTTTTCACAAAAACCCATACTGCTGCTCGTTTTCATCACTTTTTAGGCAAACTCTTAATGGTTCGCTCATCATGAGTTTGACGGAGTGTTATTATTCCATCCATCCCAATTATATAGGTTTATTTCATTTTTCACACAGATTAAAAAATCTTCTTTAGTGTCATTGAAAAATTAATTTTTGCCAAAATCTTTCCTAGTTTATCCTGATTTAATTTTCAATATGTAGTAGTAAATTATTGTTGGAATTAGTAAAGAATTTGACTGATTTAATTTGAAGAAGAAGAAATGAGAATTGTTCCATGTTTTGAAGAAGTGAAAAATGTATGTATTTGGATGATTTCAACAAGGTGGAGAATTACGTGAGAAAAATTGAATAAGGGTATATTAATAAAGCAACAAAACAAAATATTCTAAGTTAGGAAATAACCCTATATATTTGGGACAAGAGAAAAAGAAAACTCAACCCTTATAATTGGAACGAAGGGAGTATATTTTTGTAATGGTAGAACAATCTTTTGATCTTCTAACCTTTTTCTTTTATCTAATTATTTAGAGCAATCTTGTAAATTACATGTTACGTAGTTTAGGTTTAAAGTTTAAAACACCGTTTTACAGTGAAGTAGACTATTTTATTCCAATGGGAACTGGCGCAAGGTGCTACGAAAGGTAGAAGTCGAAGACTTAATTCCAATTTTCGAAGTTTAGAGACTTGAACAAATTCAATAGGCTGCAATGTTACCTGAGAAATTACTATTTGTGCCCAAAATCTCTATGATATAAAATTTTTTATCATAAAAGGACAAAAATAATTGCAATGATGCACATAAGAACAATATTGACAAAAGAAATTTAAAGATTTTGGTCATTTTTTTATTTCCTTAATTTTTGTCGTCTAAATTATTTGCTTGGTCAAATGGATAGAACAAAATGTGACAAATACGTGAAGAGAGCACAACGTGCATGCACAGCAAACAAATAATTTTCACATATAAATAGAGCTAGCTACTAGTTAATGTGTCATGTAAATTCGTGTAATTTTCTTGTGGATAGTGTCGCGGAAATTTCTCGATAAATCTTGATTCCGGGCTCATAAAACAACCAAACGAACACCGATTTACCTCGACTCGACCCGAGACTTTCACTTTCACTTTGGACTGCCCAAACTCTCTCAAACCCCACAAAGGAGAAGGGTGGTGGTGTTAGCAATCCACAAAGGTATGGAGACGGAGAAGAAGATATCACAATGGCTGGATCTTACTCACAACCTCACATGGCTTCCCTCTATCTCGGTTGCCTCTCTTCTTTCAACTCTCTTCTCCATTGCTACAACACACACACACACACACCACCAAAAAAGGGCTGGGAGATAAATACATATATATATATATGTTAGTTTAGGCCACTCCAATTGGGCCTAGGTTCACTAAGAGGGCTACCAATTAACCTAAACTAATTGGTCAATATTCAACTCCATATTAATCACTAAATGGTCCAACTAACCAAATAATCATCCAACCCAAACCCGAGCCATCCAAAAGTGTAGTTCGTCTCCGAGCCGAGCCGAGTCTATGGTGTCGATAAATAATCTGACAACTATTTTAAATCATCGCCCGAATTATTGGGTATCAAAAAACCTAACAAGAAGTTTGCCTGCTTAAAACTAACATTTTAAACACATTTGTAAGGACTAGAAGCACACAACATTCACAGCTAATTCCTTTAATTTGTGATAATCTTGCATCATCTTAAAACAATAGGAGAATGGCACACTTTTTGTCAAATTCACTTTCTAGGGACGAAGTTTATAGCATAGGGCCAAGCATTGTTGTTGACGGGGTCTGCAAGGTGGTCAACAAGGTTTTTCAATGGACCCTTTCCGGTTACAATTGCCTGGACAAAGAATCCGAACATGGAGAACATAGCTAGCCTGTCGTTTTTGATCTCCTTCACCTTGAGCTCCGCAAAAGCCTCGGGATCATTGGCAAGACCCAAGGGGTCGAAGCTTCCACTAGGGTACAGTGGGTCGACAACTTCACCTAGTGGTCCACTTGCAACACAGTAGCCCTCAACAGCTCCCATCAAGATGACTTCGCAAGCCTAGATGGCCAAAATGATCTCGGCGTGGATCAAGCTTGGGTTGCCCAAGTAGTCCAGTCCACCCTCACTAAAGATTGTGCTCCGGCCCTGAACCACACGGCCTCATCAAACTTGACACCGTTGCGAGCCAAGAGCTCAGGGAAAACACATCCAAGAGCTCCAAGCATGGCCCATCTTCAATGGATCACTTCAAGCTCATGATTCTTCGTGAATGTCTCGGGATTAGCTGAGACTCCAGTAGTGTCGCAACCATAGTCACCAGGGAATTCACCTGTGAGGTAGCTTGGGGGCTCTCCAGAGAATGGTCCCAAATACTTAACTCGGTCAGGGCCATACCAAGGGCTGCCTGAAGAAACTGACTAGCTCACAGCCTTCCTCATTGACAACCTCCCGTTGCCAGTTATCTCAGGGGCAGATGGTGAGAGCTTCACTTCCTTACCAGCGAAAGATGGAGAAGAAATAGACATAGTGGAGGTTGCCATTTTACTTAATACTTCACTTTGGGAGAAAATTGCAATTTGTTTGTGGCTTGAGTTACATGGCCAGTGAATATTAAGGTATTTATACAAACTGGGTTGCCAGCATTCAACATGGTCCTTATCTATTGCTATCACTAACAGTATTTTCATTGATGTATGATATTTTTGATATCATATCCGTTTGGCAACGTCCAGCACAACCAGTTATGCTGGATTTTTTTGGGAGCATTATGTAGCAAAATCTAACCTGATGTGATCATAGTTTCTCGTGGCTAATCCGGGACAGCCATTTGTACCATTGGATATGTTCACCATGAAGAATAATTTGTATGTCATCCACTAAACTCAAGAAAATAAGTTTTCCCATATAGGGTGAGCCTAATTATTTTTAAGTGGGTTTGATTTTCAAGTGTTAGTTACTTTTATCAGTTACAATCTTTGAAGTATTCATTACAGCATGAGTTCTTTCTACAACATTTTCCATCACATCTTGAAAAAATAAGTTCTTAGTTGAATTGAACAAAAACCATCATTATAAGCTCTTAGCATCCTATTCAAAGAACAAATGAAACACGTTTTAAATTCGTAGCCTAACACGGATCATCCCCGCTGGGCAACGAAAATAGAAACAAGGCTAAGGGACAAATTGACACTACTAATCAAAGTATTTAAATACCTTAAGTATCCAATTCTGATACTTTAGTGAAAATATTTTACACATATTTAATTCTCAGGTAAAAAATCTCTTTGTTAGGATAAATTTTATTGTCAAAATCAAGAATATCGAAGGCATGACAAAACGTCTTAATTAGTTTGGAGCCACTGATAAAATTAAAAGAAAGGACTAGATATTTCTAAGTGGACAATATGCAACAACTAAAAAAATCTGAGATCCAATCAAAGAAGAGATATAGATATCATGAGGATAAGAAAATTTCCTTTCCTTTCTATAAATAATCATTCCTACCTCTGGACATTTAGCACTTAAAACACTTTTTTGACAAAACCATCAATCATCAGTTAACTTCTTTTAAACCATGACAATCTCTACAATGGCTCTTTCTTCTCCATCTTTTGCTGGTAAGGCAATGAAGCTCTCGCCATCAGCCCCTGAGATCACTGGCAACGGGAGGGTAACAATGAGGAAGGCAGTGAGCAAGTCAGTTTCTTCAGGCAGCCTGTGGTATGGCCCTGGTAGCGTTAAGTATTTGGGACCATTCTCCGGTAAGCCCCTAAGCTACCTCACTGGTGAATTCCCTAGTGACTGTGGTTGGGACACTGCTGGACTCTCAGCTGATCCAGAGACATTCGCCAAGAACCGTGAGCTTGAAGTGATCCACTGCAGATGGGCCATGCTTGGAGCTCTTGGCTTGCAACGGTGTCAAATTCAGTGAGGCCGTGTGGTTCAAGGTCGGAGCACAAATCTTTAGTGAGGGTGGACTGGACTACTTGGGCAACCCAAGCTTGATCCAAGCCCAGAGAATTTTTGTTGTGATTCTCTGATCACGATAAGAGAATAAAAGAGGAAAAACAATTCTATTTCTAATTGAATAGAATTTACAACGGAGTTTACAAACTCAAAAAAACCTCTCAAAAGACCTCTCTCTTATCTCTCTTTTTTCTTTCTTCTCTACACTATTTTTCTTCCTCTCAAGGGATTTTTCTTCTCTCTTTTTGGGGTATGAAATTCCTTTTGTGACATCCCTTATTTATAGAGGAATCAGGCTACAAACTGCCTCAATTTTATGGCCAGAATTCTGTCATTTAGGTGTTTCATGGACAGTCAAAATTTGTGGGTTGCCTTCTTCATGAAGTAATTAAAATTGTGGCTATGTTCATGCATTAAGGAAGGTTCTAATTGTTAACCAATCAAGAATTGCGGTTGGAGAATTTTATTTCAAATTGTCTTCTTACATAGGTGTTTCTTCTCCATTAAGCAATTGAAGTTGTGGCTTTTTTTCAATTACTTCAAAAGGAAGAAACTGATTAAAAAATCAGCTGGAATGCGGCTGGACTTATCAATTCTCCCCCTCCAGTCGCATTTAAATCGATTATTATTTAACAACCATCCCAGCTATGTCTCTGCATAGCTCTAACTTTTCTCTTGGAACCACCTTTGTTAACATATCTACTGGATCTCATTTGTGTGAATCTTCACTAGTTTCAACAGTTGTTGATCCATCACTTCTCTTATCCAATAATAGCGGATGTTGATGTGCTTTGTCCGAGAATGGTACATTGAATTCTTACTTAAGTCTAGAGCACTTTGACTGTCACAATGTATTTTATAATCCTTTTGCTTGATCTCTAGTTCTTGGAGAAATCGCTTTAACCACAACATTTCTTTACCAGCTTTTGTTGCTGCAATATATTCTACTTCTATTGTAGATAAAGCAACACACTTTTGTAGTTTTGATTGCCATGAAACAGCCCCCCCTGCAAAAGTGTAGAGAAATCTTGAAGTAGATTTTCTACTGTCAAGATCTCCCGTCATATCTGAATCTGTATAACCTTC